GGGTTGTGGTGGGTTTAGCTGCCTGAGATGCTAGCATCCCCTGTACCTGCGTGGGAGACCCAAAAGAAGCTCCTGGCTCCAGACCAGACTAGCTCTGGCCATTGTGGCCATTTGGGCAGTGAACCAACAGATGGAAGACCTCTTTTTCTGTCTCGCCCTCTCTCTGCAGCTCTGCCTCTCCAGTAAGTACATCTATTTAAAAATTACTTACTTGTTTGAAAGGTGAGTTCCAGAAAGGTAGAGGCAGGCAGAGAGACATCTTCCATCTGCTGGCTCACTCCCCAAAAGGTTGCAGCAGCCTTGCCCCAGCTGAAGCCAGGAGCCAAGAGCTTCTCCTGGGTCTCTCACATGGATGTAAGGGTCCAAGCAGTTGGGCCATCCTCTGCTGCGTTCCCAGGTGCATTAACAGGGAGCCGGCCCAGAAGTGGAACAGCCAGGACTCGAACCAGTGCCACATGGGATGCCAGCACTGCAAGCAGCTGCTTAACCCATTACGCCACAGTGACAGCCGTGGGAAGGGTCCGTCTCAAAAGGAATGACTATGGCCTGCTACATGCAGGAAAGGTCAGTTCTGTTCCTTGGTTTACTCAGGAAGGGGCTGGAGCATGAACCATGCTTCCTCAGTCTCTTGAGTAGGGGACTTATCTTTGCCAAGAGAATGCATGCTGCAGGACTTCCAAAGCTGGCTTTTAAGATTCACAACTTCTTCCTCGATCCCTTAGAATGCTTGCTGTTGGAACACCATGCTCAGAAACTACCCACTCTTCTGTGAGAAGCCTAAGTCTGGCTGGGCGTAGCCCAATCAAGCTCTCAGCCAACAGCCATCATCATGGACTGCCTTCAGCCCCAGCTGCCAGCTGGCTATAAATCAAAAGAGCAGTAAGAATGGCTCAGTGAGCCCCAAAAGACTCATAATAGATCCTAATATATTTAATATATAGTTATTAAATATTGGGGCTAATTGTTACAAAATTAGCAATGGATAATCAGAATACTTTCTCAAGTTACATCATGTTAACTCTTCACATCTATAAATCCTTTCACTTTGCAAAAACTGTATCATATGCAGTTTCCCAAGACTAGTTAATGTTTTTTTGTGGTTTTTTTTTTTTTTTTTTTTAATGAGAGAAATTTCAGTTGGGAATAAAATGAATTAAAGCAACTAGACTTAAAGGTCTTCCTTTTTCCGTTGGTTCACCCCTCCATGGCCGCTGCGGCCGGCGCACTGAGGCCGGCGCACCGCGGTGATCTGAACCCCAGAGCCAGGTGCTTCCTCCTGGTCTCCCATGCAGGTGCAGGGCCCAAGCACTTGGGCCATCCTCCACAGCAGAGAGCTGGACTGGAAGAGGGGTGACCTGGACAGAATCCGGCGCCCCGACCGGTACTAGAACCTGATGTGCCAGCGCTGCAGGCGGAGGATTAGCCTATTGAGCCGCGGCGCCGGCCTAACTAGTTAAAACTCAATGCCTTTTTTTTTTTTTTTTTTTTGAAAGTCAGAATTACACAGAGAGAGAATGAGAGGCAGAGAGAGAGAGAGGTCTCCCATCCACTGGTTCACTCCCCAAATGACTGCCCACAGCCAGAGCTGTGCTGATCTGAAGCCAGGAACCAGGAGCTTCCTCCAGATCTTCCCATGAGGGTGCAGTGGCCCAAGGACTTGGGTCATCTTCTACTGCTCTCCCAAGCCTTAGCAGACAGCTGGATTGGAAGTGGAGCAGCCAGGTCTCGAACCAGCACCCACATGGGATGCCAGCACTGCAGGCAGCAGCCTTACCCACTACACTACACCACAGTGCAGGCCCCAATGCTTTAAAATTCATCCACATTTTGCAAATAGTTTCATTTACTCTCACTATCCTATTGCATTATTTCAAAAATGTATCCAGTCCCCCATTAATGGATGTTGAGGTTATTAATTACTTGCTATTATGACCAGTGCTGCTAAGAATATATTCATGTCGCTTGATGCTCAGATGTCAACAATTATCTAGCCTGCTTATGCAGGAGTGGGACCTCTGTTATATGATATGTACATATCTCAATGATCTGTACGGATTTCTACTCCCACTAATTGAGTATAAATTCTAGTTATTCCACATATACTCCAAAGCTCAGTATTGTCACATCTTAATTCTTGCTTATCAACAGCTGTAAAATCATACCTACTTGTGGTTCTAATGGTATTTTTAACCACAAATACAATTGTTTCATGGATTTGGAAATGTATTCCCTCTTCTGTGAAATAGTCATGTATTCCAATGGTGTTTTCCTATTTTTTTTTTAATTTATTATTTACTTAAAAGAGTCTGAGACAGGGAGAAACAGAAAGAAATCTTCCCCATCCGCTAGTTTACTCCCCAGATGCTGCAACAGTCAAAGCTGGGCCAATCCAAAGCCAGAAGTCAAGAGCTTCTTCCAGGTCTCTCACATAGGTAACAGGAGCCCAAGCACTTTGGCCATCTTAAGCTGCTTTTCACAGGCCATCAACAGGGATCTGGATCAGATGTGCAGCATCTGGGACATGAATCGGCGGCACCCACATGGGATGCTGGTGTGGCAGGCAGCAGCTTTACCTGCCATGCCAACACTGGCCCCTCAGTGGTTTTAAAAACTGATTTGTGGGGACAGCACCATGGCACAGCAGGCAGTCACCCCTGCAGTGCCAGCATCCCATATGGGAGCTGCTCCACTTCTGATCCAGCTCTCTGCTATGGCCGGGGAAAACAGCGGAAGATGGCCTTTATCCTGGGGCCCCTGCACCCACATGGAAGACCCAAAAGAAGCTCCTGGCTTTTGGCTTCAGATTGGCCCAGCTCCAGCCATTGCAGCCACTTGGGGAATGAACTGGTTGATGGAAGACTTTCTCTTTCTCTCCTTTCTCTCTCCCCCTGCCTTTCAAATAAATGGGTAAATCTTAAAAAAAAAAAAAATTCCTTAAAAAAACCTAATTTGTACTAATCATTTAAATTTTCTGTCTTACAGTCATTACTGGAAATCCTGTAGAAAGATCTATTTTGTGTCTTTTTACTTCCTTTTTGGTATACTTTCATAAGCAGATATTCCTTAATGTAAGCAAACACATCAAAAATTATATGCAGATGGGGGCCGGCTCTGTGGCCCAGTAGGTTAATCCTCCACCTGAGGCGCCAGCATACCATATAAGCATTGGTTTTAGTCCTGGCTGCTCCTCTTCCAATCCAGCTCTCTTCTATGGCCTGGGAAGGCAGTGAAAGATGGCCCAAGTCCTTGGGCCCCTGCACCCGCATAGGAGACCAGGAAGAAGCTCCTGGCTCCTGGCTTCAGATCGGTGCAGCTCCAGCCGTTGTGGCCATTTGGAGAGTGAACCAATGGAAGGAAGACCTTTCTCTCTCTCTCTCTCTCTCTCTCTCTCACTGTCTGTAACTCTACCTCTCAAATAAATAAATAAAATCTAAAAAAGAATTATACGCAGCTTATTTGTATCCTGTTTAAGAAATCCTTTTTATTCCTTACACATTCTTTCAAAGCTCAACAGTGCTGTCCTTCACATAATTGCTATGGTAAGGACAGGATGTAGCTTGTGTGTGCCAAGCATTTTTATGTCTCAGAGTCACTACTGACAGTTCATTCGTTCTCCATATTATTCCCTTCATAAATGCTTCTAAGGTTTTTTTTTTCAGCAGGTTGTCAGGAAGCAAACCCCGAGGTTATTTAGGCACTTTTACATCTCCTGTTCATGGGTCACAGTGGCCTGCAATTTTCTTTTCCTTGTGCTTTGCTTATCTCATTTGTTATTGGGTTGCATCAGCCTCACTGTGCTAACACATTACCTTCTCTGCAAGAGTTCCTAAGACGTACAATTGTTTTACTTGGAAGTCTGCCTTAAAAATAATTGGGCCTGGGCCAGTGCTGTGGCTTAGAGGGTAAAGCCTGCAATGCTGCAGTGCTGGCATCCCATATGGGCACTGGTTCAAGTCCCGGCTGCTCCACTTCTGATCCAGCTTTCTGCTATGGCCTGGGAAAGCAGAAGATGGCCTAAGTGCTTTGGCCCCTGCACCCAGGTGGGAGACCCCAAATAAGCTCCTGGCTTCAGATCAGCACAGTTCCGTCCATTGCGGCCATTTGGGGAGTGAACCAGCGGATGGAAGACCTCTTTCTCTCTCTCTCTCTCTCTCTCTCTCTCTGTAAATCTGCCTTTCAAATAAATAATTAATCTTAAAAAAATAATTGAGCCTAATAAATTAACTATTTTGATAATTTTAAGACTACTCACATGCAGGGAAGTAGTATTTTCCTAGGACCTTTCCTACCTTGGACAACTGGAAAGAGAGGAATGTAAAGAACAGTGTGGGGAATGAGGCACTGCAGTAGGTGCATATAACAACCCAGAATGGTGAGTCTTAGGAGGTAAATGCCGAATTCAATGCAATGAACTTGGCTATGCTTGGTCTTCACTCCTAAAAGCACCTTTTCTGAGGGGGGGGGGGGGTGTGGGCGTATGTTTTAAATCCTTGACAAAGAGAAAGAAACCAGCCCTGTTTTATGAAATGGGGTTTTCAGCTTTTAAGTGTTTGCCTATTGCTGGTAAACTTGGCAAAACTCGAAGGTAGCCTTTGTAAAGATCAGCAATGTGACCTGTGAGGTAACTCTTTAGATTGCTAATACTATGATTTACACATGAGAAGTGTAAATAACTTGCTGAAGGACATACATGCAACTTCTGGGGGGAAAGAGCATCAGCATTTAGAGCCTGGATCTCTGCCCAGCGGCCTTCAGCATGTGGGAAGGGAGTGAGCACCCTGTGAGGCAGGGAGAGGGGAAGGGGGGGTGGCGGTCACTGCATCCACTTCACCTCCATGGAGGACGGCCTGAGCTCTTAGTGTTCTTGACCTTCCTGGTGGTCGGAACCAGAGCGCTCAAGCAAGCAGGCACATCCCAGGGGCTCCAACTTGTGCTGCCTATGGCTACTTTGTGAGATAATGTCTAACAACACTTAATAATCAATTCAATTGCAAAGGCAGTAACTGTCAGAATAATCTTTACTTCTCAGTTTAATGCAGCAAAGGCAATCCTTTCCTCAGAAAGACAAGTGAAAAAAATGCCATGCACTTTGTGACTTAAAAATAAAATGACTTTAGACTTTGGAACAAGTAGTCAAGAAGAAAAATCGAAAAACAGAACCCCTGCATAGCAACAGAGTGATTCTCTTCTATAGTGAATAGGCTTAGAAAGCAGAGAAGCAATGCTAACATTTTAACAAAGACCAAGTACAGAATCTGCTTTCAGATCAATAAAAAATATTGTCTTTTTGTAGTGACAGTGAGGTAGCTACGGGTCATCTGTGTACAATTCTTTTCCAAAAGCATTCTTTCTAGTACAATTGGCTTGCATAATACTCAAATGCAGTTTTAAAAATCGATTGCTGCATTTATCTGCAGCCTGGACTTTTACACACATCAGCAGCTTTCTAGCAATGCTTGTGAATGTTGGGGGCTATTACCATACATCTCTAAAAAAGAAATACTAACCCTTCAGTCTTCCATATTCTCGATTTTGTAGTCAGCGACATTGTAAGCACACCCAACTGAGCACTGTCCAGAAGCTTTTCTAACATTCCTCACGGAATCTCTGATGTCTGAGAGGCCTCACTCCTGAAGTTTTACCCCCAGTCAACTAGTCTGCACCACTTCTTCCCAGGGTGTCCTGGATATCCGGTGTGGAATGCGGTTCGGTTGGAAGAGTCCACGTGCGTTTTGCTCACAGCTCTTCTCGAGTGTGGGTCCTCTGGTGATTGGTGAGAGACGAGCTCTGGCTAAACGCTTTGCCACATTCTTTGCACTTGTAAGGCTTTTCTCCTGTGTGAATTCTCAGGTGTGTCATAAGGGAGGAACTCTGTCTGAAGGCCTTCCCGCACACTTCACAGTGAAAGGGTTTCTCTCCCGTGTGGATTCTCTGGTGCTGAATTAGAGCCGAGCTTTGGTTGAAGGCTTTTTCACAGTCATTACATTTGTAAGGTTTCTCTCCGGTATGAATTTTCCGATGAGTGTTAACTGCTGAGTGGGAACTGAAAGCTTTCCCACATTCTTTGCAACTATATGGTTTCTCTCCAGTGTGAATTCTGTGATGGATATTAAGCCGTGAAATCCACGAGAAGGCTTTCCCACACTCGTTGCACTTGTAGGGTTTTTCTCCAGTGTGAATCCTTTGATGCTGGATAAGTGCTGAGCTTTGGCTGAAGGCTTTGCCACATTCTTTGCAGGCGTACGGTTTCTCTCCAGTGTGAGTCCTCTGGTGTATAATAAGGGCCGAGTGATAACTGAACACTTTGTCACACTCATTACAGTGAAAGGGCTTCTCCCCCGTGTGAATGCGGTGGTGTCTGCTGAGCCGGGATATGGAAGTAAAGGCTTTCCCGCACTGCCCGCACTCATACGGTTTCTCTCCAGTGTGAATTCTGTGATGCTGGATGAGAGACGAGCACTGGCTGAAGGCTCTCCCGCACTCGTTACACTTGTAGGGCTTTTCTCCAGTGTGGATTCGCTGGTGGTTATTGAGGGATGAACTGCCCTTGAATGTCTTCCCGCACTCCTCACACTTGTAGGGCCTCTCTCCGGTATGCATCCTCTGGTGTCCAATGAGAGAAGTGGTGAAGCTGAAGGCTTTCCCGCACTCGCGGCAGATGTAGGGCTTCTCCCCAGTGTGCACTCGGAGGTGCTGGGTGAGGGACGAGCTTTGGCTAAAGGCTTTCCTGCATTCTTTACACTTATAGAGCTTCTCTCCAGTATGGATTCTCTGGTGCTTACTCAGGGAAGAACTGTGGAGGAAGATCTTCCCACAGATGTTACACTTGTAGCATTTACGCACTGTGTTAACTCCTAGTTGTTTAAACAGGATCGAGTACTGCTGGGAACGGGCTTTCCTTCCCCTGGAAACAATTCCGGGCTTCCTAGTAAGTGATGATTTCAGATCAAGATTTTTCCCAAGCTCAGTGCCTTTAAAGTTCCTTTCCCTCAGGTAGGTTTTTTTGACGGTAACCAATGCTTTCCTGAAAAGTGTGTTCTTTTTGCCTTGTTGCTTCTCAAACCTGTTGTCATTTATATAGGAGTTTCTCAACATGAAGTCAAAAGGACCGTTTGTGAGTTTTTTCATGACTTCCTGATTTTTTTCCTCAGGAACTGTGGTTGCAAACAAACTTTCCCATCCTAAAATAAATATAACATGTAAGTCTCTTTAGCGCTGGAATAAAGAAAAGTGACATCAAAATACATAAGGACAGCAAACAGCCTCACAATCTCAGGAAAGGATGGGAACAAGAAGGACAAGAGAAAGCAGCAGGACGGCAGTGGGAGGCCTGGACGAGAAGAAACCCTGTGTGGGCTGGCGGCCTCAGAGGGACGCTTCCAGCAGAGGCCGAGCTGGGCTTGAGTCCAGAGTGGGTCACGGGTTCGAGACATTTCTGAGCACAGACTGTGTGATGACTCAGCTCCCCCTTCCAGCTCAGCCTCCAGTGCAGTCAGCTACGTCCCAGGGGAACACTGCAGAGGGGTTAAAAGTGAGGTGCAGGAGCACCACTGCCCTAGGAGAGTTCTATGAAATGCTGGGTCCCCGGCAGTGCTAGTCTGCATCTCATCATACTGCTGCAAATCACACTGGATGGACACTCACTCACTTGTGCTATATCTACTGAGTGTCCACCAGGACTGCACCACAAAGAGGTCAATACTGGGAATCACAAGATCTCACAGGCTTATGTTCTGGTAGGAAGGTATTGGCAATGACCAAGTAACGAAACCAACAAAGAGGTACTAGGGTGCTGACAACTTTAAGAAAACAAACAAAAGCAAGGTGATGTGTCATGAGTGAATGAGCTGATATTTTTAACTAAGTGATGAAAAAATGAAATTAAAGATGAGGTTTTAAAAACAAGTGCTGGCCAGGCAAATCTTGGGTACAATGATGATTCCACAAGGCCCTGAGGCAGAAATAAGCTCTCTGTATTCCACAAAGTAAAGAAGTGTGGCTTAAGCAGAGTTTACCAGGCAGGGTGCCATCAGATGAGGAGGGGAGGCAGGCAGAGGCCGGACCAAGAGCATCTGAGGGGATACAAGGTGTTTGGAATTTCTTCTAAGCATTTCTGGAGATTAGAAGCAATACAATGTGACCCGGTCTTGTTCCAAAAGCATCACTCTGCTTGTTGGCTGTGTGCCAAAGTGGGGGCTGGGGAAGCGAGGACTAGGGCAAGTGCAGAGGAGGCTGCTGCAGGCTTCCTGGGCAGCGTGGTGCTGGCTGGCACTGGTACGCCAGGGTGGGGAGGCAAAGGGGCGGGCACATCTGGGATGTTCTGGAGGTGGAACTGCCAAGAATCCTCATCCATGAACTAGCACACAGAGGAAGTGAGGGAGGACTCAAAGAGGAGTCCCAGCTTTGGGCATGGGCAGCTCTAAGGAGACAGAAGTCACATCATGATGCCTGTGAGTAACAGAAGAACAGGACATTCTCAAGAACAGCTCTAGGCCCATCTTTCTGATTACCTGGGGGCACAGTGTAAGAAAGGGAACCACTGATTCAAAAGAAGTCAATGTATTTCATGAAAGAAAATATATTTGTTTTATTGTCCTCACTGAAAGAAAAACATATAACTGTAAGAAAACTATGCAAAAGAAAATAGATTTAGCTCACGGTAATTTTCTGTACAGCAAAAATCACTTTTATTTAAAAAATAAAGAAGGGTTGGCACTCAGCTGTCCCCATCTCTACTTCACTTAGAAAACTAGACTTCTCTCCAGATTGATCAGTCTAAGCTGACATTGTCATTTTATGGCTGCTTTCTATGTCCAAGGCACAAACACATCATTTCACAAATCTCCTTCTGATGGTCACTTATCTTCCATTCTAGCAGTAATCCCTCGTGCTACAACAACCATTCTTTTATAGTATCATTGCAATTTTGAAGCTATTGGAATATTTTCTTAAGATAAATCTGTAACCTTGGAAGCATTTAACAAGCCAGGCCATCCTCGAGAAAGATGGCACCAATCAAAATCTCACTATAAAGACACTGCTTATCACTCAAAGGAGTAGCAGCACGTAAGGTATGTATTTCCTAGTCCGTGGTAATTTAATAAGAGAAAAAATGTTCTGTTTGAATTTCATTGATTATTCAATGGATTTGATAGTCAATGGATTTGAATAGTATTTCAAAAATCCTGTGTGGATTCTGAATTCAAAGTCCTCACCTTTCCAATTACAATACTCATACCTCTGGGCTGTAATTATTTGCTTTGTATGTTATGCCTTTGTATTCTCATGGCCAGCTCATTAATATTAGTAATAAAGAAACACCGGAAGCTAAATTTCAAAAGGAAGATTGATAAAACATGGTTTAACAACACAAGAGAGTATTTTAATTATGGGAGACCTCTATTTCCTGGGGATTGACAAATTGAAGCACATTCACAATTAAAAACAGGCTCAGCAACAGCATGTATAACCAGTGTGGTCAATCTCATACATAATCACACTCAAATTCACAATCCAGAGCTGGCGCCAGGGCATAGTGGGTAAAGCCACCACCTGCAGTGCCTGCATCCCATGTGGGCACCAGTTCGAGTCCCAGCTGCTCCACTTTCAATCCAGCTCTCTTCTATGGCCTGGGAAAGCAGAAAAAGATGGCCCAAGTTCTTGGGTCCCTGCACCCACATAGGAGACCTGGAAAAAGCTCCTAGCTCCTGGCTTCAGATCAGCGGAGCTCCAGCCATTGTAGCCATCTGGGCAGTGAATCAGTGGATGGAAGACTTCTCTCTCTCTCTCTGCCTCTGCCTCTCCGCAACTCTGCCTTTCAAATAAATAAATAAATCTTTAAAAAAAATTCAGGGCCAGTGCTGTGGTATAGCAGGTAAAGCCGCTGCCTGCAGTGGCGGCATCCCATATGGGCACCGGTTCGAGTCCCAGCTGCTCCACTTCCAATCCAGCTCTCTGCTATGGCTTGGGAAAGCAGCAGAAGATGGCCCAAGTGCTTGGGCCCCTGCACCCACGTGGGAGACCTGGAAGAAGCTCCTGGCTCCTGGCTTCGGACTGGCACAGCTCCAGCTGTTGCAGCCACCTGGGGAGTGAACCAGCGGATGGAAGTTGTCTCTCTCTTTCTCTCTCTCTTTCTCTTACTGCCTCTCCTTCTCTCTCTCTCTCTCTCTCTCTCTGCCTCTCCTTCTCTGTGTACTCTGATTTTCAAATAAATAATAAATAAATAAATAAATAGAGAACTCCTTGAGTGCAAACTGTTGAAATCTTAAAAAAAAAATTCACAATCCAAGTTGATCAAGAGTAAATTACTAACAATAGTACATCATGGCTAGCAAAACTTTAGTTATTTTTTGCTCTTCCAATTTTACAATACTATGTATATATTATACAAGTTAAAACAATTTTTAAAAACATTTCCAAAAGAACAAATCAATTTGACACTAACGATTTCTTAGCCAACCAGAAAGCTCAGACTCAAATCTGAAGCTCTTCTATAAGTACCATTTCGGTCTTTACCATTGATACAATCATTTTCTAGGTTTCTGATGTAATTTCTGTTTGATTATGTCCTTGTTCCCTCAAATTGTTGGTGGCATGTGGCAGAGTACATGCAAATGTGTAGTAGATACAAAAGATCCCTTGAGTGCAAAAAAGGACTTGGGTTTTCAAAGCAAGGAGCTAAGTGGATCCTTCCACAACATTAAAGAAATAATGCTTCTATCATGACACAAGCTAAGAAAGTTTCTGAGTTCCAAAGATAAATAAAAGACTCTGTGAGATTCTCGGGACAAGGTGCTGTACACAGGAGAGAGAATCAGAGTAACAAAGGGCTTTGTATCAACAATACTGTGACCAAGACAGGGGAGCAGAGTCTGGACAACCTGGATGGGATAAAACTCACCCCAGGATTCTAGATCAAGAAGTCCATCCCCAGGGGAGAGAAGGAAGAACTGATTTTGTCCATGCACAAACAGTCGCACATGAATCTTTCTTAAAACTATATTTTAAAAAAAAATCTTGGTCAAACCAAAAGGAAATATACGAAGACAAGAGTTCAAGAATGAAAGCACCAGACTGAACTGACACACTGAGAAAGAAAAGCTGGGTAAGCAGCAAAGCTCCAGAGAGCCGACCTCTAGGGGCAGAAACAAAGGCAGGACTCGAGGTAGCATAGAACATGGGTGTAGAACACGGGTGCTAATGAAGCAGCAGCGTTTTGGTGATGGAGGGAGAGTCCTTGTGAAATCTCTCACAAGACAAACAGAAGAACAGCACGGTGAAGGTTTACAGACCTTCTGCTTAAATTCCATCCCTACATTTTGCTACCTGCAGTTTGTCTTCCACGCCTGTACATACTTAGTCCTATAAGCATATCTGCCTTTTTTCTGCTGAACCAAGTGATATGAGCTTCAAACAACAAATGAAAACAAAAGCCCAAGATGGAACAACTAGGGGGTGTATTGTAGGTTCAAACCACTAAAGCAAAATAACTGAACAAAACAAACAATCCAGTGAAAGCAAAGAAAAATGTGCAAGGTGTAAGAATTAGAAAACTTTACATGTTACATATTACATTACATATCCTGCAAATTGCAAGAGATATTTGACAAAAATACAACCCAAAATGCAACTCTCCCTCTGAACCTGATGGATCAAGTAATTAAAAAGGAGACGGGGCCCTGTCCTTCCCAGCATTTCCCACCGGGCCTGGCCCAGCAAGGGGATACCCAGCCGGCATCTTGGAACTGCCCTGAGACAGTCAGCAAATGCCACACTCAGCTCCCAACAGCCCGGTCACTCACCTAGACGGGTGCCTCGAGGCACTTCCTTTTTCACCAGCCAGTGGTCTGCTTGCTCTAATTGGGAGATGACCTTTGGCTTGGAAAAGAGGATCCCTGTTTGTAAACAAGAAAAAGACGTTAGTGGCCATGCTGGCTGGCTGAGCGTCAGCAGAGCGATGAATCCTGAAGCTGAAGAAGAAGGAAGCTTTATATAAGAGTAAGAGTTTATTACATAGAAGATACTAGACCAAGGTGGACCGGCGATCTGGGTGCAGCTTATAGCAAAGCTTTTTCCTTAAAGAACAGCAGAAGAGGCAATGCATCAAACAAAGTGATGACGGGGAACTGGTGTGGAGCTTGGGTTATGGCATTCCTTTACATATGCTTTAGGAGTTGGCCCCTCAGGTGCCCTGGTGGGTTTTCTGACCCTATCAGAAAAGCCTGTGATGACACTTAAGCTGTCTGGGTGAAGGGTGAAGGTCAGGCGACAGGTGTTCAGCATCCTCTGAGAAAGAGAGGGTAAAACAGAGCAGGTAAGGTTTAAGGCAGCGTTGTTTGCTTTCACACACTCCAGCTCTGGCGTTCTGAGGCTTGCACAAACCCATCTGCTACTTGTACAGGCACAAAAAGAGACAGAGGATGATTACCCAAAACATAGTAATCATCAGAAGCAGGCCCCAGCAGCAAAAACAACAAAACAACATCAAGCCACAACTAAGGATTTAAAAAAAAAAAAAAAAAAACTATTAGTAGGAACTTGTGATGGCAACCTTGCACACATCTAGCAGATGCTGAATTTAGTTGTGCCTTCCCCTGGGCTAAGCATTTGTGGTATTTGAAACAGGGACACTTTCTATCTGGCAGCACCGTGTCTTGGTGTACAGCCCAGACACAGATGGTACTGTGGCTGCAGCCAGGGCTCCCTTGTGCTCACAAGGAACAGGCACATCAGTCAACCAGGTACTTACACTGATTTTTTTTTTCAGGACTTCAGCCCAACCAGCCAAGCTGGGTTCACCTAATAGGGCTTATATCTGATACTTTACAAGAAAAAAGTCCTCCTAATCAGAGGAGTCAGCTACCCATGGGTCCCACTGTTTCCCATGCTAGGCTTCTGCAGCTATTATGGCCTGGACACAGAAGCAGTTTTCCCTGTACCCATGCAACCTTATAAGCCATCAAAACACTAGCAGATGGATCTTATGTGTTAACAGGTCAGAACCCAATGTTGGAATATGCCAACCTTCTACCATATTCTTACACCAGTACCTTCTGCACTTTCTCCAGCTCCCACTTAGCTTGGAGTGCTCCACATACACTGTCCCTTACGGCATTAAGCAAAGGTCACACCACAGCAGCAATGGCAATGGTGGGTTTTACTTTCTTCCATTCTTCCTTCCCTACTACTTTGTTTAGATAACCTAATATTAATCTCTAGAGACTGTGGGATTTCTTCCATCACACCTCCCCCACACCGAGGCTGTGGGACAACCAGGATTAATCCCAAGACTGCTGGCTTTCCCCTGGTCATGTTCCCTCTGCCCATGCCTTCTGCACCGTCAGTCTCCTAACTGGCTTGTCAACTGTCTGAAGGCTGGCACAGCATGTGATGGTCCCCAAACCAAGACAGAACCCTGAGACCAAAAAAATGAAGGATGCGCCACATAAGAATAACAGTTTATTAGTGCAACTCACACTTGGGATTCCAGAACAGGGCAGACAGGTGATCTAAGCACAGCTGTACCGAGACTTGTTCTACACACAACACCAGAAGGGCCAAGATGATACATTTACAAGTTAATGGGGAGCTGGGGCAGCAGTATGACAACACTCCTTTCATATTGCTTTAGGAGTCAGTCCCTCAGGTGTGCTGACCTTATCAGCCAGGCTTGTGATAAAAAAAACTTTACGGCTGGACAGTGGCCCAGTTAGGCTGGCAGGTGGTCAGTGACGTTCTGAGAGAACAAAATGGCAGGCATGACTCAAGCCAGCATTACCATGGTTTGCTGTCACACACAGGGGCACAGAGATCCAGCCACAAAGTTCACAGAGTGCCAAGAACAATGCAAGCAAGGAGGAAGTTTGTTCAGAGAAGGCTTAAAGCTGGCCACCTAGCTGAGGGCCAAGAGAAAAGTCAGGGCTCAGGCTATGCACTTCTGCCTGTGGGACCCAGCAGACAGATCTGGGGTGGGGAGGGGGACCCAGGAGACAGGAAAAGCACAGAAAAGATGCCCTTCGTCGATTCTGCTGAGGTGAGACCACTCCATACAGATGATAGGAACAGCAACTACCAATCTCTGAGCCCATCCGTGGACTGATCGTAGCTATACCCTCAGACGTCCCCCTTGGAGAGGGCTGAAATGTTCCCGTGGCAGACTGAACCGGGAGAAAAGCTCCTTACCGAGTGAAAGCAGGTTGCTGTAGTTCTCCAGCATCACCTCCCGGTACAAGCGTCTCTGGGCAGAGTCCAGGTGCAACCACTCATCCTGGCTGAAGAACACGGCCACATCCCTGAATGTCACAGACCCCTGTAACGGCAAACCCAGCCCTGGTCAGTAGGACCTTCCCACGATGGGATGACTGAGAAGCAACCCTGTCACAATCCAAGGTTCTGGGCCTTTCAAGTTAAGTATTTCTGCACAATGTCTCAGTTCCTGAGCAGGTATCTGTCATGCACCTACCCTGGGCAAAGCACGGTCCCCTCAAACAACACCTGAAATCAGGAAACAAAACCAGAGTGACAGAAATGCACGACTCTGAACTTGGAGTGACACAGTCACTGGGCCAAACTCCCATCTCACAGGTGAGCAAGAGTCAGATCTTAGGAGGCTCTGACATGCTCACTGTGGGAACAGGTGGGAGACAACCTGGCCTGCCTGGAAGGGACGCTCTTGGGTCCCAGTTCTGTCATCACCCTGGGCCATCTTCATGTCTTGGGGAAAAGAGCACTGATATGCGCAGCAGCAGAGGCTCTGGGGACACCCAGGCATGGCTTTGCTAGCACAGGGCCCAGGAAGGCAGGCTGCACAACCTTCCAACAAGAGCCAGAGGACAGCCTGAAGGCATGATTCACTCTCCCTCACCCTCCTCCCACATCCTTGGGCCACAGTCACAGCTTGGAACTTGTGGGCCCTCTATTTTCTTATTAAGTTTATTTTTTATAAAGATTTATTTATTTATTTGAAAGGCAGAGTCAGAGAGAGGCAGAGGCTTCCATCTTTCACTCCCCAACTGGCTGCAATGGCCAGAGCTGGGCCAATCCAAAGCAAGGAGCATGGAGCTTCTCGGATCTCCTACATGAGTGCAAGAGCCCAAGGGTGTGGGCTATCTTCTGGAGTGAGCTGGATCTGAAGTGGAGCAGCCAGGACTCTAATCAGCTCCCGTGTGGGATGCCAGCACTTAGGTAGCGGCTTTACCTGCTATGCCACAGCACAGGCTCCAAAATTTAATTTTAAAGGCAAATTAGAAAAGATCAATGAGCAAGAGAACAATGTTAATCTAACTTCTATTACCAGATAAAGTTTGGTTAACTTTTTGCTGTCTTTTCAGACCTTTCATATGCAAATATTCTTATATTTAAATTTTAAAATTATACCAATAACTGCATCATACTCAACATTTTTAATGTTGCCCAGTATTTTATTGTATGGGCAAATTATCTAATTAATTTACCAGTAGACATTTAGGTTATTTTTACTATTTACAAAAAAAAAAAAAAAAGATTTATTTAATTGAAAGTCAGAGTCACAGAAAGAGAGGGAGAGACAGCGAGAAATCTTCAACCTACTAGTTCACTTCCCAGATGGCCATAACGGCCAGGGCTGGGCCAGGCTGAAGCCAGGAGCTTCATCTGGGTCTCCCACATGGGTGGCAGGGTCTCAAACATTTGGGCCAACTTCCATTGCTTTTCCCAGGCCATTAGCACAGAGCTGCATCAGAAGTGGAGCAGCCAGGACATGAACCAGCACCCATACAGGATGCTGGTGCCACAGGCAATGGCTTTACCCACTACCCACAGTGTCGGTTCTGTTTTCACTTTTGCATGCTCTGCATTTACTGGATCAAACATCCCTGTGTATTATCATCAGAGCATCATTTCCTCAGCACACATTCCCAGAGCACTTTACCATCCCCAGGAACATCCCCCTCACGCCTGGCCAGGTGTACTCCCTGACCTGTAAAGGCAAAAGTGAAATAAAAATAAGTGGCTTCAGAGTGGGCCTATGACACACACAGCACGTTAACATCTGGCAACACCCACATCCACATCAGGGCACTGGTTTGAGTCCCAGCTACTCCACATCTGATCCAGCTTCCTGGTAACACACTTGGGAAATGCAGAAGATGGCTCAATTTCTTGGGCCCTGCCACCCATGTGGGAGATGCAGACAGGGTTCCTGGCTCCAGCTTCTGCCTGGCCCAATCCTTTGTAGGCATTTGGGGAGTAAATCAGTGAATGGAAGATATCTCTCTCTCTCTCCCTCTCTCTCTCTCTGTTATTCTGCCTTTCAAATAAACATATTTTTAAACAGTGTCTTGATTCTCCCTATTAGAAATAAAGGGACATTTCCTTCTACCCCATTTCTTTCAGAATGTTTTGTCCTTTTCATATGATGTAAATCATTTTAAAAATTCTATGTTTATTTGCAAAGCAGAGAGAGAAAGGGTGAGAGAAACAGGCACTCCCAACAGTCCACAACAGCCATGCCAGGCCCAAGCTGGGGACTCTATTCAGGTGTCCCACAGACGAGGCAAGGACTCAATGCAGCCATCATTGCTGCCTCCCAGGATACACATTAGCAGGTAATTGAAAGTCCCATCCAGCTCAACTGCTATACCGAATGCCCATGTCTATAAACCTCTTAAATTTTTTTCTTCTTCTTTTTTAAAGTTTATTTATTTAAAAAGGTAGAGAGAAAGAACATCTGCCATTCACTGATTCAGTCTCCAAATACCTTCGACAGCCAGAAATGGGCCATGCTGAAGCCAGGAGCTAGGGCTCAATTCACATCTCCAGTGTGTATGGATGGCAGGGACCCAAGTACCTGAACCTCCCAAGTACATATTAGCAGGGGGCTGGAACCTGGCACTCTTATATAGGATGTGGGTGTCCCAAGTGGCATCTTAACCATGGCATCAAATACTCCCCCATAAATCTTTTAAAAGATTTATTTATTTGAAAGGCAGAGTTAAAGGGAGAGAGAGACATAGAGAAAGAGAGAGAGAGAGAATCTTCCATCAGGTGGTCATTCCCCAAATGGCCACAATGGTCAAGCTGAAGCCAGGAGCCTGGAACTCCATCTGTGATTCCCATGTGAACGGAAGGGGCCCAAGGACTTGGTCCATCCTCTACTGCTTTCCCAGCACATTAGCAGGGAACTGGATCAGAAGTGGAGCAGCCAGAACATGACCCAGCATTCATACGGGATACTGGTGTTGGAGGCGGTGGCTTAACCTGCTGTGCAACAACTCCAGCCCCCACCACCACCCCCAATCTTTTTAATAGCTGAGAAAGCCATCTGCCAGCCTCACAACACAGGAGAGTTCTGAGGGGAACTTTAGGTCCTCTCTGAATGTGCCCACCAAGGAAGACACTGGAAAACTCTATGAGAGACCGTCAGGCTGACTCGGCCAGGACCTGGGTTCCTAACAAAGTCAAACAAGCTTAGCTGATCACAACCACCACCAACTGGGCGCTGATGACAATGTCAGGAGGGAGCTTCCCACAGAACAATTCAAATAAGGACACTGCTCAAACTTAACCAATCAATGTCTTTGCCCTGCTTCCGCACTCAACAAATCAAAGCTTTCCCCTCCAGTTCCTTCCCGCAGAGTCCTGAACCAGTTGCAGTTTCGAGCTGCCAGCGACTGCTCACACAAACTCTAACATCTTCATCTGCTAAGGCTTATCCTGCTACAAAGATGACGACTACACCCCCAGCCTCCTGGGAGGAGATGCATCTAATTTGTCAGCTGACTCCAAACTGGGAAACCCACCCAAGGCACGGGAGGCACCCTCAAGCTGCAATGTGCCTCACCACCTGCTTCAATCCTTATTCAGTGACACAAAGATTCCCGTTCTCTTCTCCCTCCATGAGGAGGTCTCCCATCCATGACAGGTGTGAGTGCCATGAAAGGGCTGCAAAGGGAAGAAGTCATGTGGACCAGGAAGCTTCTGCTGCAGGAGGCTCTCCCTCAAATCCGCCCCAAACCACTGCCCAGGCCCCAATTTCTCCTGGACGCCTTCTATTCTCCAGGGATGCAAACATGGCCCTGCTGTATGAATCCCAAATCACCAGTGGTAAGGATGTTTGGTATATGTGCTGCCGAAGCGAGCACAGTGAGGATGTTTGGAACAAGGGTCAAAAAGCCTGGCACCTGTGCCTTCTTAGAACACTGCTCAGGGGTAAACTCCAGATCTGCTTACAAGGCTGTGCAGTCTATCCTGGCCACTGGGGGATCTGGGGAAACACAAAAGCAGCCATTCATACCACCATCAGAATGTAAGCTGGGGGGCTGAACCCTAAAACACAACTTTTTGTATATGTCAGAATGACATATGCCTCTCTTAGGCCAAGACCTCTTATGCAAATTAAATGCTTGAGTAACTTTTTTTTCCCCCCACAGGATACTGAACTTGCAGATAGATGGTCCTTATGGGAACACTTGCCAGAGATAAAACTGTGGCCAACAAAGGATCCCCTCCCCTTGCTTAACAGCAAGCTTCCCGTGGTTGTCTAACATACGAATAGCCTATACTTTTTTTTTGCCTACCCATTGCTTAGTAACCTGCAATCCCATAATAGTTGCTTTGGGTAAAAAAAAAAAAATCTGCTGACCTGTCTTTCCAGGGTCCCTGATAAAACTGGACAGAACCAGAAGCAGCCAACCTTTTAACTTGAGCCTGTGCAAACTGATTCAGGTTAATAAGGTTACCTTATGGTTCATTAGGTCAAATATATGCCTCCAATGACATTCCTGCAGCCATCTTTGAAGATACAATCTACATCAAGACATTTTTGCCAAGGCACATGCTCAAAGGATGTTCCCCACCCCTCTGTCTCCTCTGCACCCGCCATGTTCTGTCGCTTTGTTTCACCCAGTTCCACCCCAATTACTCAAACTCCATAAATTCCCAACCCCCTTTCCGTACAGGGATATTGATTTCGACGTGACCTGTCCCATTCTCCTATAGGCCTGCACTTAATAACAAACGTTCTCTTTCTCAGACTGGTAACTTGGTGTTTTTATAACAGTCACAGTGTGCACTCAAGTAGGAGGACCTGTCATCTGATAACAGTAAGGCCAGAAGATTGGACAGACAGTGGCCCAGGATAGGAAACAAAACTCAGCTGCTAGATATTCCCCTCAAGAGAGACTCTGCGATCCCCCTAAAACCTGAGGCCCCCTCCCTGGCTGTGTGAGGGTCCGCCACCATCATGAATGACACATTAACTATCTGGACCAGGAAGTTCATGACTAACCGACTATTTCAGAGGAAACAAATGGTCATTGGTGTGCTCCACTC